GAAGGAACTGAAGCATAAAGAACATGCACCTGGTGGTGGGAGTGAGGTATGCGAATTATAGAGTTAGGCAACTGGGGATGATTGATAATGACCTTAGCTAGGAGTTAATCAATTGGATGAAATATTAAGCTTCATCATGTACCTTTGAAGCGGTAGCTATAGAAATGTTTTGTTTGTCTGAGTGTATAAAAGATGTGCTTGAAATGGACAACGCGGGATTCGGGCTTTGGGCGCTAGCCCCCTGTATCCCCGGGCCCCAATAAAGCACCGGCATTAAACTAACATTCTGTTGGTTTCTGCTTATATCGTGACGGGCAACACCTGGGGAGCTTGTTGCAGTGCAGAACCATCTTCTAGGTGAAGAACCTTTTTCTAACATCCAGCCAAAACCTCCCCTGACACAACTTCAGGCCATTCCCTTGGGTCCTGTCACTGGGTGCCGCAGAGAAGAGATCAGTGCCTGCCCCTCCTCTTCCTCTCATGAGAAAGTTTTGACTGCAATGAGGTCTCCCCTCAGTCTCCTCTTCTCCAGGCTGAACAGACCAAGTGACCTCAGCCGCTCCTCAAGTGGCTATAGTCATCTCAGCCACCTATCCAGATGAGACTGTGCACTTCACAGGTGAGTCTCGTTAGTGCTCGTCACATTTTCTGGAAGATATGAAAGTGTGAGGGGATAGACAGGTTCAGAGGGGCTTTCCTTGCGTAAAGGGAAGGTAGTGGATATAGTTTTTCTATATTTTAATGAGGCTTTTGATGCTGTCCCTTGCAGCATCTTCCTGGACAAGTTGTTCACCTGTGAGAGGAGCAGGTTCACAGTGCTCTGGGTGAAGAACTGGCTGAAGGGCAGAAATCTAAGGGATGTAGTGAATGGGGCTGCATCTGGCTGGTGATGGGTCACCAGAGCTGTTCCTCAGGGTTCAATTCTAGGGCCAGTACTATTCAACATTTTTATCCATGATCTAGATGCAGGAGTTGAAAGCATGATTAGTATGTTTGCTAGCGATACTAAACTGGGAAGTGCTTTTGATTCTCTTGAGGGACAAGAGGCCTTGCAGAGTGATATGGATAGATTGGAGCATTGAGAAATAATCAGTGGCATGAAATCTAACAAGAACAAACGCCAGATTCAACATCTGGGATAGAGTAGCACTGGACACAAGTACAGACTGGGAGAGGAGTGGTTGGAGTGCAGCCATGCAAAAAGGGATCTGGGATGCTGATAGGCAGCAGCTCAGTGTGAGTCAGCAGGGTGCCCAGGCAGCAAGGAGTTCAAACCCCATCAGACACAGCATCACCAACTGGCCAAAAGAGAAGGATCATCACACTTTATCTGCATTGTTGTCATCCCATTTGCATTGTTGCACATGCACCCTGGGTTCCATAAGCAATGCTGAGCCCCACAATTTAAAAAGGATGGGAAGATCCCTTTAAAAAGGATAGGAAGTTTCCAGAGAAGGGATAAAAAACTGGTGAAAGGGCTGAAAGGAGTGTTCTATGAGGAGTGGCTGAGGATTATGGGTTTGTCTAGTTTGGAGAAAAGGAGTTTAAAGGGTGACCTCATTGCTCTTTACAGGTTCCTGAGAAAGAGAAGTAGCAAGGGAGGTGCCATTCTCTTCCCTCTGGGGTCCAGCAACAGGATGCATGGGAATGGCTCAAAGGGAAGGTTTAGAGTGGACATTAGGAAACCTTTACTGAGAGGGTGCTGAAACACTGGAATTGACTCCTCAGAGAGGTGATCAGTATCCCAAGCCTGTCACTAAAGGGCTTTTTTTTATGGTGCTACCAGTAGGGGTGTCTAACTTTTGGTCAGCCTGGGAATGATCACACAGTTGGACTAAATGATCATTGTAGGTCCCTTCCAACAGGAACTATGGTATTCTATTCTATTCTACCCTAAGATGTCTTCTTTTCTTGCTATAGATTTCTATTATCTCTTGGCAACTCTGACATCCATCAGATGTTCACTGTGCCAGTTCAATTCACTAACCCATTAGTGAATTTTTTTTTTCCCTGAATTTTTGAGTGATATAAGATACTCTGAAAAGTTACTGAGCAGCAGATCTGTCATAAAAAACGATGTAACCAACCTTTTGGTAGCACTTAGGTGCTATATTACTCATGCCATCATTAAGTTCCACTTATCCAAAGGAAAGAATGAGGCCAAAAAAAGGCAGCTAATTTATGTATTTTTGAACCTCTTTCACCTAGAGAGGTTGGCTCGCATCCTTGCATCTAAAATAATAGTGGTGTTTTTTTCCTGGATACTATGAGTTTCTTGGTCGATTCTGCCCTTATTATCTTTTAACTGCAGCAGATAATCTAAGCATTAATATTTTTTTTTCTCAAAATTAGTATTTTGTAGCATGCATGTGCCAGGAAGCTTGTGACGGATCTTGAAAACTTACAATTGAAGAATTTTATGTTATAGCAAATCGTTCTCTTTAATTTCAATCTGAGTAGCAAAAAAGCTCTCTGTTCAGTGTACTTTCAGGTAATTTTCAAGAATTGTCTTGACTTTGATTGGTCACCAGTTGCCAAATCTACAACTCCAGGAGGGCCTGATCCTTTAACCTAGTTGGAGCAAATAATTTGTGTACTTTGGGTGTCTCTGACATACATAGGTAGAGGATTTATGCAGATTGAGTCTGTGATAAGATTACCTAACCTGTTAATTAACTGTAGGTTCTTATGTAGGTCTTATTGGCTGTGTTTAGTAACAGAAAATCATTTTTAATTTATTTTCCAAGAATACTAATTTCTTAGAAATGAGAAACCTCTTTTTCTTGAGCAACAACTTGCTCAGTTTATCAAAAGACCTGAATTGACCTGATTAAAATAAGTAGGTACCTTCACAAAGAATGAATGGGACCTTTTAATTTAGAGAGAAGCAACAAGAAATAATGTCTGGAATACAATGCCGTACAAACTGCACCTGCCTTGGGGCAACCCCCAGCATCAATACAGGCTGGGGGATGAACTGATCAAGAGCAGCCCTGCCAAGAAGGACTTGGGGTTGCTGTTGGATGAGAGGCTGGATGTGTGCCAGCAATGTGAGCTCCCAGCCCAGAAAACCAGTTGTATCCTGGGCTGCATCAAAAGTAGTGAGGCCAGCAGATCGAGGGAGGGGATTCTAACCCTCTACTCTAGTCTGGTGAGACCTCACCTGGAGTGCTGCATCCAGCTCTGGGTCCCCAGCACAGGAATGACATTGACCTGTTGGAGCGAGTCCAGAGGATACCACCAAGAGTATTAGAGGGATGGAGCACATCTCCTATGAGTAAAGGCTGAGATAATTGGGATTGTTCAACCTGGAAAAGAGAAGGCTTTGGCATGACCTAATTGTAGCCTTCCAGTGCCTGAAGGGAGCCTACAAGAAAGATGGAAGAGACTACTTTCAAGAGCAGGTAGTGACAGGACTCCAACTTTTAGCTATTTATTTTTAAAAACAGAGCCTACCCCACTAGCCTTTTGTTGGTCTTCTGAGAACTGACTGGAAATGTGTAACATTAAGCAAAATTAATTTGTTAGTTTATCTATAGAATTAACTGGGTTGGAAGAGACCTCCGAGATCATCAAGTCCAACCCTTCATCCAACCCCACTGTGATTACTAGATCATGGCACTCAGTACCACATCCAGCCTCGTCTTAAAAACCTCCAGGGACGGTGAATCCACCACCTCTCTGGGCAGGCCATTCCAATGCCTGATCACTCTCTGGAAAGAACTTCTTTCTAATATCCAACCTAAACCTCCCCTGGCAGAGCTTAAGCCCATGCCCTCTTGTCCTACTGCTGATTGCCTGGGAGAAGAGACCGACCCCCATCTGGCTACGACCTCCTCTTAGGGAGTTGTAGAGAGTGATGAGGTCACCCCTGAGCCTCCTCTTCTCCAGGCTAAACAACCCCAGCTCCCTCAGCCTCTCCTCATAGGACTTGTGCTCAAGTCCCTTTACCAACCTGGTTGCTCTTCTCTGGACCTGCTCCAGCACCTCAATATCCTTCCTGAACTGAGGGGCCCAGAGCTGAACACAATACTCAAGGTGTGGCCTCACCAGCGCTGAGTACAGGGGAAGGATCACTTCCCTGCTCCTGCTGGCCACACTGTTCCTGATGCAGGCCAGGATACCATTGGCCTTCTTGGCCACCTGGGCACACTGCTGGCTCATGTTCAGCCTCCTGTCAATCAGCACCCCCAGGTCCCTTTCTGCCTGGCTGCTCTCCAGCCACTCTGTGCCCAGCCTGTAGCGCTGCAGGGGGTTGTTGTGGCCAAAGTGCAGGACCCGCCACTTGGCCTTGTTGAACTTCATCCCATTGGAGTCAGCCCAACACTCCAGTCTGTCCAGGTCCCTCTGCAGAGCCCTCCTGCCTTCCAGCAGGTCGACACTCCCTCCCAACTTGGTGTCGTCTGCAGATTTGCTAATAATGGACTCAATCCCCTCATCTAAATCATCGATAAAGATGTTAAACAGGACAGGGCCCAGCACTGATCCCTGGGGAACACCACTGGTGACCGGCCGCCAGCTGGATGCAGCCCCGTTCACCAGCACTCTCTGGGCCCGGC